CACCACTCAGATACAATTTATATTATTTCCCTGGAATTCTCAGATATCTCTGGTTATGGGGTAAAGAAGTATCAGTGACAACATGATTTCCAAAGGCTGGCCTGGCCCCTGTAGTCACTTAACAGAGTTAATCTGAAAACTAGAATAACAATGATAAAAGCTATCTTGATGTAGCTTAAGACTTTCGGATAAACATTAATGGATACGTGGTTTATTCTTTTTGGCAATTTGGTAAAAATGGAAAGCAGTACATACAAGAGAGAATTGCTGCTGGCATTATATCATTTCTTCCATCATTTCTTCCACCTGTCCATATTTCTCTGATACAGTCAATATCAGCTTTTCACCATCTTAAATTCCACTTGTCTCCTAATGTTGCCGTGTCAGAAATATCTATGTATGTTCTTCGTCTCAAAACACCTTTCATTTGTGGGTGATTTAACTTTTGTCTGTGGGCACGATTTCCCTTTAAAGAAGCAGAACTAAAAGAGAGGTGTAGGGGTTGTGGGGGGGCGTGGCTAGGGCACTGGCTGCCCTTCCAGAAAACTGGGTATGATTCCCAGCACCCACACAGTGGTTCACAACCATCTATAACTCCATTTCTGGGGGGAACCGATGCCCTCTTCTGACTCCTGTGGACACCAAGCACAGTCATGATTCAGAGACATAAATGAAGGCAGAATACTCACACATAAAATGAGTAGATCTAATAAAAATATCCTAAAGTAGAAATGTAGATATGTAAAGTAGAAAAGTAGATACACACATGTAATAAGAACACACACGATGTGCAGATAAGAATCGCATTCTGCCCACCCGCCCTTTTTTTAGGAGTGGACCTTGACACAAAAAGCCAGGTCTGTCTGACTCTGTACCCTCTATCAGTGTTGCTGCTTTTCTTTGAAGACATGTTTAAACTCTATCCTGCTCATGGAAAGATCAAGGCCTCGGATCCGATTCCAATTCCAGAGCTTTTAGCACTACTTTAAAATTCTTCTGCCAGCAATCTCCACCTCAGGATCCCTGTGAAGTCTTCACGCCCTCCCCTCAGGCCTCCCTCTCCCCTCCCCTACCCTCCCCTACCCTCCCCTCGGTGTCCACGACTTTCTGAGGATGCCTTGGCCAGCACATCCACTCTTTTCTTGTTCTCTACAGAAAGGGATCAGCTGCAGGGTTCCAGACATAAAAGGCCTCAACCAAACACAAAACACAGGCATTGATGAAGAAATAAAAGATCCAGGAAATAGATTCTGGAAAAGGAAGGAGCACAAAGTGTCCTTTATAATAAAACAGTACATGAAGAAAGAGGAGGGGCTTAGCAGAGGAGAGAGAAGCATCCTGAACATTTACATAAAACATTTGTATAACTCGCACGACTACATTCAAGCCATACAGAAACACGGTGGACCAGTGGACCCCCATACATCCTCACATGACATCTACTGTGCCACAGAAAGGATTTACCACTCACACTTTAATAGGTTACATTTATGCTAAACTAATAAATATGTATTTGAGGGGGAACCTCCAGTTTAACCCTGTTTTGTCAAGAATGTAATGTCCCTTTAATTGTAGCATCCACGAAGATAACAGACTGGCCTCTAAAGTATCCGACAGTGTAAATGGTTGAAACCTGTAATAATGTGGCTAGAGTCAGAAGGGGATGGGGGGACCTGTGGCCAGGAGCTGCTTCTGGAAACTACACATTCCCAGAGGGGGGAAAAAGTGTGCCTAATTAAGTAATTTGCTCAGTGAATAAAAATCATACACTCTCCAGTGTACACTACACACATCAAGGTCACGAAATAGCAGCAACACTATTTTAAGCTCACGAAACATCTCTAGTTCCAGATGTCTTCCCATCAGTGTGTGACTACACTGTTTGGCCACTTTCTTGCCAATATTCTTTGCAAATATTTTGTCACCTCTGATGACAAGGCCAGCAACACACAATTTTGCAGTGGTCACCGCATTAGTCTTTGTTGGGTGCACAGCTTTTTGAGATCCATATACAGTTAACAGTTACCTACTTAGTCCCGTGTCACAGATGGCAATTCTCAAAACAAGTAGCTTAGAGGAACAGCGGGAACGAGGGAGTTCACCTAGCCTTTACTCAGCAATGACCAGCTTTTATCTGCAATGCCCACATGCAGTCATAAGCATATCTAGATGACAAACCGAAATAATGTCCTACAGCTACATTTCCCCCATCCATATGAACTTCCTATCTGTAGAAGACAAATGCTGCTCCCTGTCTGACTGACAGATGTCTGTGAATAGAGTTCAGAAGGAAGGGTAAATTAATACCTTTCATTTATCGGACAGAGCTAGTTCATTGTCCCTAATGCCAAGAAACAGTGGGTTAAATTAGGCAACAAAAACCTAAATGCCCAATAGACAGACATTGCTACCATACTCAGGAGGTCCTTGCTGAAGGTTTTTTTTTCCTTTTCTGTTAAAAACGTTTCATTACCCCCATTCAGTTTCCCAAAGGGGAAAGGGAACATACAACGGGAAGGTGGAGACCTGGACTACTGATAAGCCCTGTTATTTGAGCAAAGGGTGAGATGACCGTTCTGGGAATGAACTCTCCCCCAAAAGTGTGAAAACGTACACAATACACAGAAACTCGGGAAACCAATTCAAATAGTTACACAGGACGTTGTGAGGCATGGAAACTTAACAGGACACCAAAAACAAAAAAAGCTTTTGTGTTCTCACTCTGCGTTATAAGATGAACACCCACAGGGTTAAATAGGTCGTAAAGAGCTGATCAGAAAATACTAAAATGGAAATAAGGTAGCTGTTCTATACTAATTAAACAACAAATAATTTATAAGTCATGATTGGCCAAACAATAACTGCTTTAGGAAGGAAAAGCGGAGAGGCCTAAGTCCACACGACCTTCAGGGTTATTGTGTGGGCCTTCGCCACACCCCAGCTGATCTACAACGTAAGATGCTGTTTTCTCTTCTCCACCTGGCTCTCACCACACCTAACTGGTGCAGCACCTTTGTTCACTGTGACTCCATGGATGAAGTCCAAACTCTACACTGCACACCCACCCTGGGCAGTGCTCTCCCCGGTGCGTGCCGCTCACCAGCCCTCAGACACCTCACGCCTCCGGGGTGGTCAAATCCAAACCCTGACTGGATGTCTGAATCCTGGGCCTTCATTTCTTCAGCTGCTCTGCAGTGGCAGGCCTGTGTGTCCTTGGATGTGCTGGCCCCGGCTGAGAGGAGCCCCTTTCCCTAACACCCCTGCTTCCTCCGACTACAGCCAACCTCTGGATTCAGTCTTCCATCCTTCACTGCGGGTGAAATTTTTCAGGTGCGGCCTTGTGGTCCCTCTCTGATTAAAGAGATGATAGCTGTATCGCTTTCCAGCCGAGTGACCTTGGTCAAGCTCATTAATCGTGCTGGGGCTACTTCCTCATATGCTGGGAGTCAACATCCATTTGTCATCACAGTGAAATGACGACGGTCACAACATTACTGTGTGAACAGCACGGCGTCAGAACGTGTAGGCATCACCCAGGCACTCAAGGGTGAGACGGAGCTTCTGGTTTCCAGCTCCCCTTTGGAGGACACTCTGCACTCCCGTCCTTCTTACCGAGCCCACTAAGTTCTGTGCTTCCATCTGCAGGAGTGACCCCACGGTGGGTCTGCATTGTCAAGGGGCAGGGATCGCCTCTGAAAGATACTGGTTTCCCCAATAATGCAAATGATGAATGAATGCAAGGCTCCTGGTTCTCAGCGAGCTCACAATCAAAGGGTCACATAAGAGTCTCATCTTTAAAAAAAATGCCTTGATTGTCATCATGTGCAGCAAGAAATCTCTGCTACGCTAATTTTACTGGGTCTGGCATGTGTTGAATTTGACTTCTTAGTAACATGCACTTAATGTATGCATGCTCTGACATTATCAGAATTACTGTTGCAATCTAATGCCAAGTCACCAAAGCCTGTTATGCTAGGTTTTATGAGCTCAAAGATAAAGGTGGTGGACTCTGCCCAGAAGTCACTAAATACATTGAAAGGAAGCTAAGTCATCAATGCACATTATTAAAATGTCAGAATAAAGTAAGATGTATGGAGGGTCTAAAGATCGGGAAGGACATGAGTTAGGGCACTGAACCCCATAAAGTTAACACTGTATGTAACAAATTATTGATGGCCAACAACTTATTATATAGCATCCACGATATATGTGATTATATTATTATATATCACACTAGTAAATGCTGCATGCTAAGGCAGATATTCCTGGATTGCCTTTCTCCTTACTCTGATTTTAAACGTACTCGTGTTGTCTAAGCACTGTTCAGACCTTTACGACAGCCCCATTTAACAGATGAGAAAAACGGGGCGTAGGTCTTGCAATTTTCCCAGGTTAAGAAGCAAAAGTAAAAATATGTGAACAGGACCTAAGAGATACACCAGCATTCTACACGGAGGCTAGGAACCCACTTCCCAGAGCCCTTTCCTGCCGTTCTTTCCTCCTCTGCCAACACGCCCAGGTTAATAACACACCGCGGCTCTCCGTTCCCGCCAGGGCTTTTCTCTTCCCGGGTCTCTAACTGAACTGTAGATTCTCAAACCTTCCCACTCACTCCTGGGCATGCGGTGTAAATCGCCAGCGCTTCAGCAGACATGAGACCGAATCTCATATCCATGTGGACACACCGGCAGGGTCAAGAAGCTAAATCTACGGGATTGGGGATCCGCTCCTGGATCCCCTCCAGGGGATGGCAGCAGCACCCGCCTCACCCAGGAGGCGCCATCCCCGGTGGATCCTCCCCTCCCGACCACCTCCCCCCTCCTTGGCAGCTCGGGCGCTGTCATCTGCTCTTTCACCCTTCACCTGACGACGCACCCCGCACAATCTGCATCCTCGCCCGACCAGCAGGAGTCACGGGGGCAGCCGAGCCCCGGACCCAGTCCAGCGAGCGCCGCAGCCGGGGGGCCCCGGCCCCGCCCCGCCCCTAGCCAGCCACTTACGGTTCCAGTACACCGGGTAGCACTCTGCTTGAGTGACGTCCACCTCGTAGAGGCCGCCGCGCACGCACACCGGCTCGATGGTCACCAGCTCCTCCATCTCCGGCTCGGGCCCCGCCGCGCGCGGACAGAAGCCGCAGGCGCGGTCCTCGTCGTCTTCCTCCCCGGAGCTGGAGGCCGGGCCGCACGCCGGGTCTCCATCGCGGCCCCCCGCGCGGGTGCGGGCGCGGGCGCGGGCCCCCGTGGTCTGCAGCAGGGTCCGGAAGGCGAGCTCGATGCGCAGCGAGTCGTAGCCGATGAAGGGCTTCCAGGTCTTCTTGTCCTCCTTGTAGAACCAGCGCACCTCCTCGGGGCCCAGCTCCGTCACCACCTCGTAGCGATGCCGGGCTGCCGAGCTGCCCGGCCGAGCGCGCTTCCTCTCCCCGGTGCCCCCTCCCGCCGCCCCGCCGCCCCCCGCGTTCGAGGCGACCAGCGGCGGCGGCGGAGGCGAAGAGGAGCTGCCGCCGCCCGCGCTCTCGCTCTCGCTGTAGTAGCGCAGGGACGAGCCCGACTCGGCCGAGCTGAAGTCGTAGTTCTCGTCGCTGAGGCACGAGTCCAGGGCAAGGTGGCTCAGCTCGTCGGAGCCCGGCGCCAGGTGCAGCGGCTCGGCGCGCAGCAGCGCCAGCGGCACGCCGTCCCCGGGCTGGTGCTCGAAGCAGCAGCCGCCGCCGCCGCCGAACGCGCCCGCCGCGTCCGAGCCCAGCTCCCAGGCGCCGCCGCCGCGGCCGTTACGCTCGGGGCTCCGCGGGGCGCCGCGGCCCGGGTAGTTCATGCCGCCGGCGCTTCCGCCACACGCGCATCCGAAGCCGCCGCCCTCCCTGCCCGGACTTTATAATCTTTCAAATCCCGAGCTGGGGCAGCAGCTGCGGCCGAGGCGACTCCGCCTCCCCGCAGGCTCCCCCCCACCCCGGCCGACGGCCGCCGCAGCGGCGTTCCGAGGCCCCGCCCCATTGTTACGCACCCCTGCGTGGGCGGGCCCCGGGCGAGGCCCCGCCCCCGGGCCGCGCGCGCGCCTCCCCGGAAGGCCCGGAGCCGCTGCATTCTGTGCTCTGTGTCTCCCCCTCCCCCCTGAAGCGGAGGGGTCGGATGGGGTCACCGCCGTGTCGGCCTCAGGGCAGCTCCCGCCTCCCGGTGCGCGCTCTCCGCGCCGTGGCTTCTCCCCCTCGCTCCCACGCCCCCGGATGCCAGCTGGAACGAGGCTTTCTCCCACTCGTTCTTCCACTTTCGGGTCATGAGCCCAGGGGCTGACTCAGCTGTCTGCCCTGAGGGGCCCTGGAAGTTGCTCGCTCACGTTCCAGGCTTTAGGCCCGCTTGCAACCTCCGCAGGACCTGCTCGGTCACCTGGCCTGGCCCTTGCCTAACCTCCAGCCCATACATAAGCAGGCACCCCGCCCTATGCCTGCTGCTCACCTGGGCAACACTACTCCCTCTTAGAAAAAGGAGTCCCAGCCTCCCAATGCCAGCTCTCAGGATTGCTTACACTCTTGTACTTCAATTTCCTATTCTTTGCTTCTTACAGCAAGGCCTTGGATGGAAACCAAGTCCCTGTGTCTCAGTTTTTTCTGCACAGCTGGTGTACCTCCGTTATAACGATGGCGATGCCAGCCAAGCACGTGTGTGATAGATTACACTGAAAGAAAAAACAAACAAAAACAAAAATAACCCGGAGGTTCTAGGTTCAATTTTGCCACCCCGGGGCAAGTCACTTAATATGTTTAGCTTACTTGTTAGTATAATCAGGAATGAATGCCTAGCAGTGAATCTATGATCTTTAAGCCTTCCCGGGGTTGGTTTTGTTTTTGTTTTTAGTGCGCCTCTGATTCTGTAACTTATCTCCTGGGATCAGGAAATACTGATTCTCCCTGCTGCTAGATTTCTGAGGCAGCTTACAGAGACAGAAGGCGGAAAGAGACCAGAATCTGACCACTTACAGGGAAGGACAGACACTCTGCTGAGGGCAGGGGTGTCTTGAAAGGGGGAAAGTGAGCTGGGGCCCTTGACAGAGGCGGGTGGGAGGCTTAGGAAGGAGGAAATCCTCAGAGGGCTATATGCAGGTCTGTGATCTGTCTTTCTTTGAATTCTCTGTTTCAAGCAAGACAGATACCTTGCGGGGGCATAGGCTGTTCTAGAAGGCATTCTCTGGATTGTGGAGGCAGGCATACTATCATCTCAGACAGTTCTTTTAACTGAAAAGTATTTATTTGATTAGCCCATCCTATGTCGAGAATCCCTGGAAAACAATCTCCAGCCTCGTTCTTAAGAACAGACAGTCTTCTCTGTCACGTTTATTTTGTGGAATCAGGTCAGTAGGGCACGTTGTCTTTCTCCTAGGATGTAACCTGTCAGATAACTCCAAGTCATTATTTAAATCAGGATCGTTTCTGTTGTGCACCGTGCTTCCGTGGGGATGTGTAAGAAGGCCAGGCTTTCTATGGGCATATGCAGAATGATACTTTGGCTTTCGGCAAGGGAGGAACATGGGAGGGATTTTCTAGCATAATTTGTGCATTTGGATGGATAATCTTGCCATATGACTAGTCTGACCATTTGTACATTACAACCCCAGTAACAAAGCATCCACACTACCCGCCTGAATATCTGCATCCCAAATTCTCTTCTAAATCTACTGGCAGTATGTAGAGTAAGAAATTGGGTATGCACTTCGAGCTATTTACTATTCACAGAGGCATTAATTCTACATTGCTCTGAGAGTACAGGCACCTCTGTGTTAGCGTCTGATGGTGGTGCACGCCTTTGATCCGAGCACTCAGGAGGCACAGGCAGGTGGGTCTCTGTGAGTTCAAGGCCAGCCTGGTCTACAGAGCGAGGTCAAGACCGCCAGACTACACAGAGAAACCCTATCTCAACTTCGTGTCCCCCCACACCCCAAAAGGAAGCTATAACTTGGTGGGGGATCTTGATAAGCAAACAGAGATTATACTAAAGTGTAATTAAAAGCAGTAGACATCATGACATTTAAAATACCTTCCTGTTTCTTGACAGAATGTAGCCCAGTATTTACATTTATTCATTTATAGCACTTTTATCTCTTAAGGATGACATCATTTACATCAATGAACATCATTGTCTATTGTTTCTTTTTATTGTTTTGTTTTGTTTTTTGAGATGGGGTTTCTCTGTGTAGCCCCTGCTATCCTGGAACTTGCTTTAGGGACCAGGTTGGCCTCAAACTCAGAGATCTGCCTGCCTCTGCCTCCCGAATGCTAGGATTAAAGGCTACCACATCCATTCCTATCTGTTTTTTAAAAGGACTCTTTGCCTTGTACTGAATGTCTTTATTGCTTGTGTGCTAATTCAGGTCACACAGTTAGGTGGCATAATCTTTCTTGAAGTAGGTGTTGATTTTCTCCTTGCCATCCAGGTAGAAAGAAGAAGGTGTTTTAGACTCTCTCCTGACTTCAGAGTGCGTTGGTGAGAGGAGATGTCAGTCCATATTTGTGGGAATTGAGCTCGCTGCTTCCCTTTGGACCAGAGGCTGACGTGAGCAAACGACGTGTGAAGATAGCAAACTGCATTTGTCTGCACGTGTTTCTTTCCTCTTCCTTCCCTTGCCATAGCAAGACAAAGGTTTTGAAGCATCTCTTCTCAACATTCTTTTCTACTTTAAAGGGTCATTCCTTATGTAAGACTTCCTACTGGAATCTTTTTGCTTCCTAGAGCATTTGTTTTTCATGTTATATGTTCCTCTTAGGCAGGCAATGGGTCTGACATAAGAGGAGTCAGCCCCTCACATCATCAATAGGATAATGGACATGGTACTCTCTGACCTGCCAAGGCATGATGTCACACATCCTATTGCATTTTAATAATTACCTAACCAGGTGTCCTTCATATAAGGAAATGAGGCATGATTGACTCAAACATCTGGCATTTGTGGGCCTGTGCTACTGTAAGAGCCAGGTGGTTTTAGAACCACGCCCAAGGGAGCCTCAATATGGAAAGGAAAAAATAGCTTTTTTTATACTATAAAAGAAAAACAGTGCCTCATGTCTGTTCATCCTACCACCTCCTTTCCCATAATGTACCTGGCAACGGTTGTCTGGCAAGAAAGACCACCTTCCTCTTCCGGCCTCTCGGAAGTTACATGGTTCCATTTCTTGTCAATCTTGCTTCTCTTTTTCACTTTGATCTGCTCCCACCTGTAGAAAATACGAGGCTAGCCTGATGCCATGTCATGTATTGTGAGCCAATACCCTACACTCACACTTGAAATGGCCTCATCCATGCTGGCATGCATCTAGAATGAAACCCAAGCGGTCTACTGTGTCTCCTGCTTAATAAGCTGTCTACATTTGAATTTTACTGTTTAATTTTAGGACTGGCATTTTTCCATTTTTTAAAATGAGGGTGTATTTTAGGACACTGACTAAAATCAACCACATTCTAGACTCAGAGAACAGTCACAGACACAGCAGGTGTCCCCCAAGTTCCAGGCTTTCTGCTAGGCTCTACAGCAATGGTTCCCAGCCTGTGGGGACCCATATCAGATGTCCTGCATTGTCAGATATTTACATTGCGAGTCATAATAGTAACAAATTACAGCTATGAAGTAGCAACAAAAATAATTTTATGGTCGGGGCTCACGAGAACATGGACTGTACTAAAGGGTCATAGCGTTAGGTATCTCCCAATAGAAGCATAGTGGCCAGACGGGAGAGATGGCTCAGCCATGAAGGGCGCTTGGCCCTCTTTCAGAGGACTGGGGTTGTGTTCCCAGCATCCACACTGGGTGCTAACTCCAACCCCAGGGAATCCGATGCCCTCTTCTGCCTTCTGTGTGCACATGCACACAGAAACACACATAAATAAAAATAAAACCATCTTTAAAGACTCTCAAGGTAAACAAAAGAAAATATAGTGTCGGCTTCTTAATTCCTCAGAGGAGTGTGACTGTAAGGTGCAGATAGTGGTACCACCACACACAGCCATTCTCTCTAAAGACGGATCAGCAGAGGAACCACACTGCAGTTGAAGTGACATGGGAATACACAATGAAAAGTCATTCATGCTTCCGTCTAGTCACTCAACAAATACCTGTCTAGTACTCTTACGAATACGTTGTTTCTGTTTTAAAAAGATATACAACTGGAATAAATGCAGAATTCTGAAATGCCTTTGCTCACAAGTTTGTTAAAGGGCTATCCATAAAGCTGTAAACCCCACAAAATTACTTCAAACCCAATAGAACAAAACAAAATGTTCTTTCTGAAAATAACGGCTGATTATATTGAAGATGAATGTATTTTACTTACAGAAGTAGAAATTAATATATTAATATTTGCTAAGGATCAGCAGGACCAGCCCCTCCACGCACTGATTCAGCAGGTCATAGGTCCTAGCAAGTCTTTCTGTGTCCCACCAGCCAGCTCCCAAATAACCACATGGAGAAAGCTTGGTCAATAGCTTAGGCTTGTTTCTAATTAGCTTAGCCCATTTTGATTAATTTATCAATTTTTATTAACTTACAGACTGCCACACAGCTCGTGGCTTGTTACCTCATATCTCACATGTCATGGTTCCTCTAAGTCTGGCTGGCGACTCTGCCTTCTTCCCAGCACCCTCTCTGCCCTGAAAATCCTGCCTAGCTATTGGCCGTTTAGCTTTTTATTAAAACAATCACAGTGACCTGTCCTCACACAGTGGAAAGGAATATTCCACAACACTAGATGGGGAAGAGGTTAGGGTGGGCCAACTCAAAGTCCTGGATCTGGGCCTGGATGGTAGCTGGTCAGACAGCCAGCATCCATGCCATTGGGCCCAGGTGCCCGGTGGGACCAGCTCTCGTTACAGCTGGTGGGTGACAGAGTCAGCTCAACCCTGCCCTCGGACATTAACATGGTTTCAGGCTTCAGTACAGATCATGGACATTGCCCTAGCCTT